AACGGACAGGGGCGCAGACCAGGAAACATAATGCCCCACTACCATAGACGGGGCATGTAAATCCTAGTAAAAAAGTAAAGAATGGCCAATTCTGTTTGGAACTGATATTCAGACGAGCCACAGTAACATCTATTTTGATTGCAATGTTCCTTCATTTGTACACCCCAAGGGTGACTTGGGAACAGAAATATGGTCATTTTTGGTCTTCTTCCGACCGTCAGAAAACCGTTGCCAAAGTGGAGAGTGCGTTTGATTGTGCGGGATGTATAAATACGCAGCCACGTCCGCTCAGAATTGGAATGTAAAACCCGAGATACCAAGATAAGAATAAGGAAATGTGGTATGATTGCCAATGAGACAACTATACAAACGAAAAAGATGTAAGCAATTTTAGGTTATTGTATGGCCTTCAACATTGAGAAAACCCATACCATATTGTCAGCTATGGGAGGACCCAACACGATAAAATGTGAAACAATTCAAAGTAAACTATTAGCCAAATTCATATCAATACAATTTACTTAAAAATATACAAATATGACATACATGAACCAACGACAACCACTTAATCACATGCACCTGATTTGAATTTGGTACAGGCACATACAGAATGTGGCGGGGTTAAAAATGTTTGTGAACGCTCAACCCTCCTCTAACCTGGGACAGTAGATTTGGTTTAGCAATTATAGTAGTCTAGGATTACCAACGGACACCCTGTTTCTGACAAGAATCCAGATGGAATTGTATTAACTGATGAATGAATAGTATTTCGTGTTTGATTAAGAATCGCCATCTAGAATTAGAGAAAGATGAATGACGGAAAAGTTATTTTTCTTAAGGTTGAATATCCACATGTATCATTGTTGTCTCAATGTTATATATTGCTGTGGAGGAGGGGCGGGGCAGCACTGGATTATATCTGATTTAAGAATCTAATGCTGTGTTTTCTTTCACTACACAAACAACAGGTCAGTGAAAATTTCAGAGGAATTAAATTTGTGCTTTAGCTAAACCCCCTCCTCCTCCTGAACAAAAATCTAATGCTGCCGGAATCATGAAACTATAAGAAATATGTAGTCGGTGCATAGTTAAGAATAATGCAGAATTAATACAATTTATTTGTTTGATATAATTTTGCCGGTAATAGCATAATTATTTTTCCGGGATAAGCGCAATTCCAACATAGCATATTTATCGCTTTGTCTTTCTCGGAGATCCGGAATTCCAATTGCGGAATAGCAGTACAACACACAAGTTGTTTATGATATGATAATACAAAATCAACACAATTCCATTGACTTCTGATATTAACCATGTCCAATTGACTATTCATTTCTATGTTTTTTTAAGTCCCCAACCAACTTTACAGGTTGTAACTTGGTCTGTCCGTTCATCCGTCCGTCCGTCACACTTCAGTTTCAATTTGGAAATGCTTTGGCCAAATATCTATTTTTGGTATATAATCTTATAGTTATAAGTTACATATCAAGTTTGAGTTTCTTGCTGGTGGGATTCAATTTGTGAGAGTAATTGCCCTAGGAAATTGAGAATTTTGCCAATGATTTTAATTTCTTACAACTTGTAAAGGACATTATATTGCCAGAGCAATACTTTCAATAATTATATAGACCTTGCCACAAGCAAGGATGGGCTATTGCAATCCGCATGAAGTCCATCATCTGTTAACTTGTTTATGAATTGATTATCAGATTGAAAACTCTGAACAAAACCTAACCAAACGTTGCAGCAATTTTCCTTACAAGGATCTATGGAAGATTCACACCCCCCTCCCAAATGCCACATTGTATATATTCAATGTTGATGAACATTCCCAAAAAGCACAGACAAGACTGTGAGTGAAACAAAGCATAGCATGCAGTTATATTCCCATTAGAAAATTCAACATCATTTACATATGTATTTCTTTTTTACATAAAATGCCATTTATATATCTTTTGAATGGATGTTGTTATGGGAAATATTTGTTTCCATGATAACTGTTGTTGAGTATATACGCATCTATGTATTTTCTTACAGGTTTGGAAGCAACTTAAGACATAAAAGTCCTTATACTGCAGAATTCTACAAATATTAACTCCGTTTCGAAGGAAAAAATAGGTTGCTATGGTGATAAAACTAATGAGAGTCCCACGCAATATTCTATTTATTTTGGTACAGTAGTATTCAAAATTATTTACTATAATGCTAACTATGCTGTACACATTTGAACTTTCAAAAAAACACACGAGACAACTTGATAATTTCACAAAAATCCATGAGTCAGAAATGTTAAAAATATGCAAATTTTGGTTGAACTGCAATCTTAAGTAAAGTGAAGCTAAAACCAAGTTATGTCAATGTTAAATATGAAAATTTCTGAAAAGGTTTGATTCTATTCATAATCAGGCTCTAAATTGTAGTGATTTAGCCGATTTTTAAAAGATTTTACCACGCTTAACTACCAAAAAATAGAGTGTGCGTTACCATGGCAACCACTCATATTTTCCCAGTGAAATTTAATTTTTGAGCAGTATTCAATTACTGCTTCTACCGGGCTATTTATGGAAAAAAATTGAAACCCTCATATATCGCACTCTGCCTGGTTCTTATAAAGAGTTGTCCTTAAATGTCTTTTCTGCTCTTAATAGATGACCACTTTGCATTTCACCTGAACCATCCTTTAATTTCCTCCGATCAGCATGGATAATGATGAATAGATACGAAAAATCAATAACATATTATATTAATATCTATGCATACATATATCTGTTTACCTGTCGCCACCACATGGTCCAGGTAGATAATGTTAATTGACGTAGTATACCCTGTAAAATGAACAAGATAAACCATCTTCTGTTCTGGTAACGACAAATTTCCAGAGAGAGAGAGAGAAAAAAAAACAAAAAAATATGTTTACCAGAACTGCAAATCAGTCTCGAAACACAAACATTGCAGTGCCCATAAAAATTAATCTGAAAATTTATGAACGGTCAGATGCATTCACAAGGAGGTATCTACATATATAAAGCTTTACACAGATGTGCAACAAATATGTTTTTTTTTTGGATGGTTGAATAATGAAAAGATTAAAATTGGTAGCAATTTTGATGTCAATAGATCATAAATGGTCATATTCAGATAAGATATCTGTTAAAAATGTGTACTGATCTTTTCTATCTTATTAATATGAATGATCCCATGTGGTTACCATCTAATACGGATATCGTAAATTGTATGTCTGATAGCTGGACAATATATAGGTCGGTTTTGATTTCTTGTGAAAAACGTGAATGGGTAGGAATTTTCCCAAATGTTAACATATAAATGAAGTGGGTGTGGTTAAATCGATGCCAAACATCCGTACCGAAATAGTTATGTTGAAATCCCGTCCCACCCATGCCCCTCCCCTGTTTGGTGCATCATATACATTTTACTCCAAGTATATTAGTAATTTGCCTTTCAAAAACTAGCAGAGGTAAGTCGTAGTTTACAGAATTTCTTTCAAAAAATTTGGACTGACATCCTTGTCTTTATCACGGGGTGAACTATAATACGGGTTCCGTAGATTTCATGATGACGTAAATATAACTTATATTTAAAGGACTAAAATTTGTTATAGATTTGTTAAGCAATTATATTCAGCTTACTTTTTTGAAAATTTAAGAAGATGTGGTATGATTCCCAATGAGAAAACAAACTCTCCACCAGAGACCAAATGACAAAAGTTAACAACAATAGGTTACCGTACGACCTTCAGGAACGAACAAAACCCATACCGCATAGTCAGCTATAAATGGCCCCGAAATGACAAATGTAAAACAATTCAATCGAGAAAACTAACAGCCTGATTTGTGTAAAAAACAATGAATGAAAAACAAATATGATACACAGAAACAAACGACAACCTCTGAATTACACGCTCCTGACTTGTGGCAGGTACATACAGATTGTGGCTGGGTTTAACTAGTTTGATGACGCCAAACCCTCCCCCTTACCTGGTGTAACAGTACAACATAAGAACAAATTATACAACGGCTTAATGCATCAGATCGATACAAAGCAGAAAAAACATTTAACAAAAACACAGACCGAACAAGGCAGGGTATTTATACATCGCCACTCAAAAAAGACACTGAAACAGATCTGAGAGTACTCGCAGTTACTGACAGCTACTTCAAAGTCAATAACAACTAATACAAATATCATGCATCTAAGACTTAAATATCAATCAGTAATCATCCAACATCCAAGGGATTCAGTGTAAAGACGTTATTAACAGTCGAAGAAAAACATGACTTTGTGCAATGCCAAGATACAGGTGTCGACAGATTGTAGAGCCATGAACGTGCATATGTATATAACATAATATTTAGTTGGATTTTAATTTACTGATAACAAAATCAATATTTGTACCAATAAAAACAATATTCAAAGATCTAATTACATTGTTGAATTCGTAACCTTTTATAATAAGTTTATTTGAAGGATTGATCAGTTTACCTGGATTGTATCTAAATTTCCGGGCACGGTAAACAACATCTTGGAGTCCTTAAAAATTTGGATGTGCTATACCGTTTGAAATACGAAGGTACATCCAAATTTTCAAACGAAATTTTTGTATCTATGGAAGAATTTATCAAAGGTTTTAAGTAATTTGTGGTAACGAAATCCTTGACCTAAAAATGTATCAGTGATACATAGATCACATTCACTGAAATCCAAAACATCAATACAGAGATAGCGAACGAGTTGTGAAAGATAAACACCGTTACTAAGTTGGTGCTCAAGGAACATCACGGCCCAAAAAAGGAAAATTAACAATAGGGAACGGGTCTTTACTCTTTTGCTTGTTTGTTCATTCATTCATTCTTTTTACAACTCATCATTTTTTAATGTTTAGATGATCTTGTTTTATGACCGAACGATACAGGATCCGAGCTGCATGGTCAATCCTCAATACAAGAAAGTCCAAATATATATATATATATATATTAACATACTATTTTGCCATCCAGGATGTACACATAAGCTTTATAGCACGGATTTCTCATTAACATGTGAAAGTAATCCGGCAGATAATCACCATCATAGTCTTTCCCGGGTAAAATTGAGATGACTGCATCGTAATCCTCAATCGTTGCTCTTCGTATTACTTCATTTTCCTTCAGCGACATTTTCGTGTCGTTATTTCACGTCTGTCTTAATAATCAATATATACCTGAAAGGGAGAGTGCACGTTTTCTATCATACAAAACATAAAATTGACAATTATGTAACGGTAAATTACAGCTAAATTCTCAGAATTATGCTATTTGACATGCGGTGGTTACAGATTCCGTTTTTTTACATGTGGATGAATCATAAGCCAACGTACAGACTATTATTGTGACTGACATAATTTTATCTTCTAACCAGATCATATTTCTAGTGGTAATTATTGTTTTGAATCTCCACATAGAAATTTACAATAACAATCCGACTCGGAGTCCAAATAAGAATAAGACTACATATCATACAGGCTAACTATAGGGGAGATATCAAAATAATGATGATGCTCAAAATATATACTTGTTCAATTTCTGTCTCGGAACAGAATCGTTGGTGTGAAAGACAGGACCATACATTCAGTATTTTGTAACGCGATTGGTGGATTTTAGGGTTTTGGGAAGCTTTATATCGTTGACGCGCGCAAAAAGATTTTTCAGCATTTTACAACATTGTTGTCGCCAATATTTTGAAAAAAAGAAAATAACATAACCCTCCATTTCGGATTAAATTGTCCCTTCCTTATAATGCCTGTTTGGTATTTTAAAAGGGATGCGAGGATATGATTCCATTCTTTTGGGGTTAGTACATTTGCATTGTACATGTACCTCCAAGTGAACTTTTGTTATTTCCCTGTTTACAGATTTTATTCGATCAGATAGAATCATTTCTACGGACTATAAACTTTGTTTAACACATATATATGCATGCTAATGATCACTCCGGTCAGGCTAGCTTCCAACTGGTTTGAATATTGATTTGATGAAATATTATTTAACATACACCTCATAAAGTTCAATGGCAATTCTGACTCTTCGGCTGTTATTGGTATGTCTTTTTTGTTCATAAAGTACACTGTTTTTGGTACTAATACATCCTTGGCATTCAAATATTTGGCTTTGAGCATCCCTGATGAATGTAAATCAAGAAAAGCGTTTAGGACGTATACAAAGTATTATTTTCATTTTTATAGCATTGGGTGGATACCGCTGCTATAGGAAAAGTATAATAAAAATACCGAACTCCAAGGCAAAGTCAAAAAGGGGAAATCTATAAAAACTGACAAAATCAATCAACGGAGCAAGTGAAAAACAACTGCCATATTACTAGTTCTGGGCTCCGGTACTGACATTTTCTATAGGATACCGTTCTTAAATTGTCAGTTTATAAAAATCAGATATTCAAGAAACTAAGGTTCCAACTACATTTGTACTTCAGAAAAAGTCGAGGTTAGATGTACTGTATTTGGCTGTTATTGGTATGTCTTTTTTGTTCATAAAGTACACTGTTTTTGGTACTAATACATCCTTGGCATTCAAATATTTGGCTTTGAGTGTATATGATGAATATAAAACCAGAAAAGAGCGTCAGACGCAATTAATTTATAAAATGCTATTTTAATTTTTGTCCATAAGATATACGAAATTTCAGCCAATCAGTTCGCAGTAACATCTTGAACTTTTAAAGCACAAATACAAGTATAGGGTGTACGATATGAGCATTGTTGTCAAGTTTTAAATATTAAAACAATTTCAGAAGAAAAAGTTTAAACTGTGAAGCAAACATTACAAATTACGACTGACGCAAAGAGATGACAATAGCTCACCTGGTACTCAGAATGAGACGTTTAAAACGGGAAAAGACAAACCTTTGATTCCTACTGGGACGGGCAGCTAAAAAGGTGTGAGCAAATATTACGTAAGTTAAAAAAGCTATTTCAATATAACATAATATATTTTACCTTGATACAAAGGCTACACAATATTACCTTTTAAATGTATGTGTGTTATACCAGATTATCAAAGTACAAAGTTGAATAGTGTATACAAATGACAAGTCTATAAATAGGTCACACAATCTACACTAGCGTTCATAAAAGGTTGATAAGAGCATTTAAGAAGACACTTTATAAATATTATATAGGTTACACATATATGATATTAACACTGTATAGCTTTTATCCACTAAAACAATTCTATTGGTAGACTTGAATTTTTTTTAATTTGTCTAAATATGATGTAATGCATTACATTTTTACCAGAAATTGTCTAAGTAGTTTCAGATAAGATAAGAAAATTCAACTTATTTACTCTAAATAAATACAAAGTGTTCACTATAAACAAAAGTAGTCATAATCTTTCAAAATAATTCTAAAAAGGGGGTATATATAGTATATATGCTTATAGAGCTAATATGAGCTAATTCAGCTGTGCATTTTGTCCTTGACAACATAAATTTATAATATTTTGTAAATAAAGTGTATCAACAGTCTGTATGTATTCCTATGGGCACACATTGCACCACTTAAATAGCAGCTTGTTCCTGTATTGTTATGAATCAGTAGTGCAAAGTTCGGTCTACATTTAAGTTAATTGATAACACTAATTATTATTATTTGAGGTAAATTTTCCTTTAAATAATCAAGAATTTTGTGACGGGTGGCACATGTGGAGCAGGATCTGCTTACCCTTCCGGAGCACCTGAGATGACCCCCAGTTTTTGGTGGGGTTCGTGTTGCTCAAACATTAGTTTTCTTTGTTGTGTTTTGTGTACTGTTGTTTGTCTGTTTGTCTTTTTCTTTTTTTAGCCATGGCGTTGTAAGTTTATTTTCTTCTTATGCGTTTAAATGTCCCTTTGGTATCTTTCGCCTCTCTTTTCTAATTATACAGCACAAATTACCCACGGGAACTTACTTAAAATTAATCTAATTTCAACAGAAATAATTGTATTTTTCTAGATTTGGGTATTTCAGTTGCACACGGGAAAATCAAAACAAATGATTACGAATAGAGACGATTCTCTACTGTTTATTTTCCTTTTTAGGACTGTGACTTTGTCATTCCTAGGCCTTCTATAACTAATTATAATGTATGAATGTCTTTTTGAAGTCCATATTGGACTATTAATTGTTCACATTTGTGTCCTATACGAGTCAGTTTTTATCCATCATGTATAAAAAAGTGAAATAAAAAAATATCGAACTCCAAAGAAAATTTAAAATGGGAAGGCCCTTCTCAATTGGCAAAATCAAAAGCTCAGACACATCAAACGAATGGAAAACAACAGTCATATTCCTGATTTGGTACAGAAATTTCCTTATGTAGAAAATGCTAGCTACACCTCTCACTTTTATGACAGTCGCATAGAATTTCATTGTTATAAAAATGTGTGAGAAAAACAAACAATAGTTTTAGACATGTTTACTGTTTAGACATGTAAGTAAGACAGTCAAGATCGGTCATTTTATCTTATCATGTCTATTGTAATTAAATTATCGAAACTCGGACGGCCATTTAGAATAGACCAATCAAATGAATCGTTGTACTTCGAACGGAGCGCCACCAGTTCATCGATAGGATAAGCGTATCCTGTGATTCCTTCTTCGAAAGATCTTTTACCTAGAAAATATCTCTGGTTAGATGAGACACGTGCACAGATCAAAGTAAAAAGAGCAAAAATTTAATGTCGTTGAAACTGTCACTTAATCTTGTGTACTTTTACAATACGTTTTAGTGAGCATTCCATATGTTGATGAAACTAACCATTTTAAGGGCATTTTGTAGCTTTAATAAAAATATTCAACTTAAATATGTTTTAATCAGATATTGAACTGACGATGCGGCCCTTTTAAGTACAACATGTACAATGAAATATGTAGTTTCAATTATTTCAAAAGGTTGATTACATTCAAATTCAAATGGATGTCAATAGTTAAAAAAGGTTGCGCAAATCGGATTGAATAGAATTATTTACCCAATAATATTGATTCAACGTCTTGTCAAAATCAGCAGCACAAAATCAGGACATGTCTTAACAATAAAAATTATCAATCTTAAGAAATTATTACGGTTTTCACAGAGTTATTATGTTTGTTGAGTTTGGTATAGAAAGAGGATTCCAGGAGCATTTTTGTTTATTTTTGTCCATTCCAGATGATCTAAACTCGAGTACTTGTGTGTTACGCACACTGAAGCAGTATAGAGGGCCACATTTTTCAGTTGTTCACCTTGGAACCAATAGAAACAAATAAATGTAAAACATCTGAACTATGATTTCTTTTTATCTGTTGTTCAAGGAAACTTCAAAATCGTCATTTTCAAATTTATTTACCAATTTTCGACGATCATCAGAACCAAACAGGACTAAATCACTTACATAGAAAATTCTCTCACAGAGCAGCCTTATTCACTGTGAGGTAAGAAAGATTGATGATGTTTGTCTATGTAAGCCTCGAAGAATTAGTTGTATGAAACTGTCCAGCATTTGGATAATATGATTTTTCAACACATATAAGTTCTTTTCTGGCAAATTTACCAACAGGTACTAACATGAGTCCATTTTCTGACATCATCTATGGTTTGTGGTGATTCGTGACAGCGAACTTCAATCGTGAAAATATCCTTAATGTACTCAACAAAATTTTGAATATGAATGTAAATATGATGGGCCAATGCCTTTCCTAGATATCCAATTACAAAATATTTCACCATTGCTAAGCTTGAAATAACTTCCAAAGGTTACAATACTTTTCTTATTGTCGTCGAGATACGATGCGACAGCTTTTGTTCTTTCCATTAGTATCATCGGAATGTTCGATTCCATAAGTCGGTATAATAGTTCGGTTATCTTTAAACATCTGTGAGTAAAAGTCTTGCTCTTTTATGGTTTGAATTAAGTCATGTTGAGTCAGAACTTTAGTTTTTTCAAGTGTTTCTATCTCAGGTAAAGGTTCTATTAATGAATGTTTATAAGCCTGGTAATACAAACAAACCTAAAAAAAAAACCAATTACATGTAAAATTTAATAATAAAATAAAAGCACGGTCAGTTGAAAATGTAGACTAGTCGTTTGTTTCTGTGTCATGAAATAAAAGTTCCTTCGTGATATAAGTCCCAAACGGAGAAATATGCTGTAATATTATTTCCACTGGAACAAATATTACAGTATTTGTTCCTAACGGAATACAGGCTATAGAATAGTTGGTCCAATAGGAACAGATATTTTGGCATTGTTTATAACAACATTTCCACGGGAACTTCTGTTCGGTGGAACAAATTTACGCTGACAACTGTATATTATATTCGTTTTTCGTTTATTGTTTTGTACACAAATCAAGCCGTTAGTTTTCTCGTTTGAATCGTTTTACAATTGGCATTTCTGAGCATTTATAGCTTGCTTTGGGGTATTGGTTTATTACTGTTGAAGGCCATACGGTGACATATAGTTGGTAACTTCTATGTCATTTGGTCTCTGCTGGAGAGTTGCCTCATGGGAAATCATACCACATCTTCTGATTTATATATTAATATAATATAAAAATACCCTTTTCGCAACAAATTGATATTCTCAATTTCATATATACTTGCCAGTAGAAAATACAACATGTGTCCAGCATTGATTTTGTTCCTTAATGAATTCTCCAATTTTTCTCAATACACCATTGCCTTGTGTGTCTTTTCGTATACGACCACTTCTCATAACCCCAGTTGTCCCACCGTCTAACAGGTAAACAGTTTGGAAGCAAGTCTTAAAAGAAAGCATTGCAGATTACAAACAAGGAACGTTCGTACGGAAATAATTAGCGCTTTCAATCACTAGCATAATGTTTTACATTTAAATGAACACGATAGAAGGGGTTAGGGTAGATGTGACTTCATAAGTTAATGCAATTCAAATATAAGCATCGTTTTCCTTTAAATGAAATGTAAGACTCGTTTGATTTAATTTAATATAAAAATACTAAGGAGATGTGGTATGAATGCCAAAGTAACAACTACCAAGCAAAGTTCAAATCACGTCAATATACGCATATTGTCAACTTGTTTTAAAATAAGAAACACATTTAACAATGAAACAGGATATTGATACAAGTTTAAAGCGCAATAAATGGAAAAAAATACTAGGAGACATCCTTCTTTAAACAAGCTATTTCAAAGACTTATACAACTAAAGTATCAACCAGTTCACTTCCAACGAATATAGTGAAATACATCATTTGCACTTATTTTTATTCGAACATCACTGGCGAGTCTGTTGTACACGAAACGCGCGCCTTGCGTACATAATTTTAAGTCTGGTATCTATGTTGAGTTTATATTTAAAATTTTAATATTAGATTTATTGAGTCTATGAATGATTCCATGTAGTTAACATCTTCTTCAGATATCAAAAATGGTATGTCTGATTGCTGGAAAATTTATGAATATGTTTTTATTTTCCTATAAAATATATGAATGGGTAGGTATTTTCCTAAAAGTAATATGTGAATGGGGTAGGGGTAGCTAAATCGAAAACAAACACCCCTTCCATTTTACTCCACGAATGTCAGTATATAGCGTTTCCAAAACCAGCTGAGGAAAATCGAGGTTTAAAGAATTCCTTTTTTACATTTTGGACTGACATCTTTGTCAATATTTCGGGGTGACCTATAATAAGGATTACTTAAATTTCATTATATCATTTACAAATCTTATATTTAAAGGACTCAAATTTATACATTTGTGAAGCATTTATATTCGCTTACTTTTTTGTTTGTTCATTTATTCATTTTCTTAACTACACCGATTTCAATGTTTAGATGGACTTGTTTCATGACCGAACGAATCGGGTTCCATACAACATGGTTACACCTCAATAAAAGAAAATCCAAATATATATTTAGAATATTTATATAATTACATACTATTTTGCCATCAAGGATGTACACATAAGCTTTAATGCATGGATTGTTTATCAAAATGTGAAAGTAATCCGGTAGGTAATCGCCATCATAGTCTTTCCCGGGTAAAATCGAGATGACTGCATCGTAATCCTCAATCGTCGCTCTTCGTATAATTTCAGTTTCCTTCAGTGACATTTTTGTGTCGGTATTTCACGTCTGTCTTAATATTCAATATATCTGAAAGGGAGAGTGGTGTTTTCTTTCATCAAG